TCAGAAAAATAATAGTTTTATGAAAGTTATTTCAACAAAAATACATCAAATGTGAAGTGTCACGCAGGGAATTGTGGGAATGTCAATTTACATTTTTTGTACTGTAAATTATACAATGACGTTCTTTTTCCCTTCCAAAAAACTGTAAATTTAACTGTACATGCATTAAATGTACTCTTACAGTAGGCCTATAGTATGGAAACTTTGTAAACAGTTTTTCACCGTAGCTTTTTACAATCTTTTACCGTTAAACTCACCATCATTTTTAGATAAAACTTCAAAGCTGCATTTAAGGAATTATGGAATGTGGGATTCAATTAAACCATAGCGTTTTTTCTGTTGCACTGTAATATGCATAACAAACCACATTCAGTTAAAATATAGCCTACTTACTTGTAGGTTTAAAATTCCACATATGGCACATTTATTGTCTCCAACAACAAATATTTTAGCAATAGCCTATGTATATTTTAGTCAGAATTATTGCGCTACTATTCTATTGTGCTCCGTCTGTTTGGCGCGCATGCGCGCGGCGGCGCTCATTAACGGAAGCTTGAATTTTTGCGGAGATTCACTTTCAGAAGGCTCGTCCTCTCCACAGTGAAATAATGCACATATTTGTTTGACTTTCTAACATTTACAGATGGAGAATATACCTGTGCAATGTAAGTTAAGCACTGAGGAAAGCACCAGATATCAAACGCATAGCCTAGGCCACATGTATGATATAAAAAATGCATCCTGTGAATGAATAAAAGCTAAAATGGCTTGCCATAACATTTCTGTGTTTTAAAGGATAAAAGCAATAGGCTACTTGATAGCCTACTTGATGGGTATTATTTACTGAGGGATGTGCATCCATATTGACCATAGTCTATGTCCAGCCAATCAACATTTTAAATGCAATATAGCCTGTAAATCAATAGTCAATGTCAATATATTGCTTTCCATCTTGCTTTTTTGCAGAGTTGTAACTAAACTGACTTGGAGACTAGATAATTGTTTTAAAAGTATGTGCGCGTGCGCCTAAAATAATGAGGAGTGCCACCACCACGCCCATGTTGTAGGCTACTGTTCCCCACTGATCGATGTTTTGCTGGAAAGTGCGCGTTTCATTTCGTGCACGCGCATATGAACTCATGTTATCTTTTCCAAGCTGCTGTTTATAAACAAACACCGTTGGCCTTTGTCGTTTATCAAACCTAATAAATAGTTGTATTTCACTTTCACTTTTTTTGTCAGGCACAAAGTCACAGAACACAGCCCTGGAATGGCCGGAATTAGCAAGAAAGACACAGAAAGAAAAACCAAAAGATGCACTGTAGGCCAGGCTAGACAGACAGACTAGAGAGAGGCACATCAACTAACTTTACTGTTCTCTGCTGACAACTTGGAGAGGAGAGAACACAAGTCTACCTGATTGCTGCTCCCGCAATTCACTCTCATGGTGTTTTTTCTCTCTTTTCGTGAGCAAGGATAGTTCAGCTTAATTTTCTCATCGATGTTGTAAACTTTGATTGACGCGCTTTGCCACGAGGGGGAGGCGGGGCTTTGTTGTGTAGTGCGCGTGTAGTTCTGATCGGCTGAGCGCAAGTATTTATCTGTCGGTCAGTCAGCAACAGTAGCCTATCTGACAGGGCAAGCTGCTTTAAAATTGTTAACTATATATTACCAATTATTTTGAAGCCCTTAATAAAAGCTTGTGTCATGTTTAGGACAAATTGTACTATGTACTTCCAGGAGCTCACACTGTCCTATTTTTCGCTCGTATCAAACTACTGTATCGAAATTGGTATTGCCTCATTCATATAGTTTCTAAAAAATACATCGATATATCGTAAACTCGATATAGGCCTACTGCCCAACCCTAAACTGTTTTATCACATAAACTGTAAATATAAATGCATTGATTATCGTTTTTTTCTAGAATAAAAACCATATGTTATGTGTATGATGATAACGAGTTATTCACAATGAGAAATGGACTTCCTTCAGTTCAAAATTGAATTAGTATTATTCTGCAGCCTGTTTACCTCAGTTCAGATGCATTTCAAATTAAGAAAATGTAATTTCTGATTTAACAGGTATTTTCAATTTCACATTGAATGGTGCACAGCCATGGTAGGCCTAGTATTCAAAGTATTATGTTCTGTTCTGTTTTCCTTGAGTGGTCTGGAAAATGTGTTTCCTTCTAAAAAAAGGGGAAAAAAAGGACATCCGTCAAAATTCAGCTGCGCTCTCTACCTCTCCAGAAAATAGATGAGGGTGTGAAATATCCATCTCACACGGCACAGTCAAAGCATCCATCGGTCTAATCTCTCATGCTATTCATAATTCTGTGTGTGCAAGGCTCAGAGCCCCCACGGGCAGAACACCATTTACCTTCTCCACTTCAACGTGACCTCAAAATAAACGCTTCCCTCCCTCGGGAGTCTGCCTGACTGGCAAAATTCATCACATTGATCTGATATATTAGACTCAGTAGAGCCATTATCATTTATTTAAAAACTCTTGTAGAGGTGAATATGAAATGCAAGCATGCAAAAGTAAAACCATCTTCTGCGGTGTGTTGGTCTAGGTGCTTCAGTTTTAGCCTTTTATTACAAATGAATGATGGTTGGGAGATTAGTGAGAATCATTACATGAAGACCATTTATTATCGACCATTACATTATTTTTGATGAGGTGTCATAATTAAACTTAACAGTAGCCGTAATGTTGATATTGGCACATTAATCTAAAACAAGCACCTCTGTACTATATACTATTTTATAATTTGTCGTTATGCTTTACCATTTAAAGTCAGTATTTCAGTACTCAAATCATCCCACTGTTTTAGCTGGAAATCAGAGTGTATTTGTGCCTCGTTTATCATCACCCTGTAGTGAGGACAGACAACGGTCCCCGGGTATTGCAGTCCCTGTCTGTGGTATCTCTCTCCGTACCTCTCTAGATTACGTTCAGGAATGTAATCAGGAGGGAAAGTTTTGGACATCTTGACTCTAAATGATAAATGAGAGAGTGGTAGTCCTGAGCTACATGCCGGAGTTAATCTCTGTTAAATCCAATCACGGTGAGCTGATTGGGACTTCTTAGAGCGCAGAGATGGGAAAGTAGTATCTGAATCCATCAACGCATACTCCTAGCGAAACACGCAGCTCTCTTGCATGGAAAATAATTATAGACCCTTTTTTTCTTTTACTTTTTTTTCTGGCTGGAGCGCTATGATGACATTTTGTACTCCTGAGAATATTTGTGGGTTATTGAGTGTTTGTTGTTAAGGAGATGAGTCAAAGAGAGGTCATGTTCTCCATGTAAGTACTTGCACTATTGTAATTGTGATGTTCTTTTTAAACGGTCTGCCCTAATGGCAAACACAGGTTACTCTAGAGAAGTGAACTAAAGCCCATTATGAACATAGTTCTCATTCTTGATTTGTTTGTGGATACGTGTGTTTTGATCCTACCTGTCAGATCATTACCACTGCTTTTGTGTAACTGAGGACTCATACCTAACAAAATTACCTAGCACTAATGGTGTACCACAAGGCTCAGACTTAGGTCCTTTTAGTTTGTTGTAAATGCTTCCCTCTATGTGATATATTTTTAGGAAATAGAGCATTAGCTTTCTTTCTTATGCAGAGGACATATGATGGCAGCTCTAAAACTGGTATTTAATGCAATATATTGAGAGATAGACATTTTCTGTTATGGCGTCTTGTATTTCTCAAACATCAAGTAAAAGATAATAGCATAGTTTTATGATTTTGTTGTTTTAAAAATCCTTGTGTGATTATCATAATTAGCCATGTGTTATCAAGCGTTCTCCAACCTGATGTGACCCCTTAGCTTAAGTTTAACTTAAGGAGACACATTTTAATTAGATTTACCTAGTGTTCACGTAGGACCATACTTCCAAAATGTGTCTTCATGTACACTAACTGTGAAACGTTTGGATGCATAAAACAATAGTAACGTTAACAAAAATGATGAAACAACACAAATGAAAGAATGAGAATTGTAGAGACCACAACAACAAAATGAGCACATGAAGCATTTAAAAGGATAGTTCAGACAAAAAAAAAAAAAAATTCTGTTATCATATATTCTTATACCCACATGTTGTTCTGAAACCTGAATGATTCCCCCCCCCCCCCCCCCCCCCCCACACAAAATACAAGAGGAATGATGGGCAGGATGTTCTTGCTGTCGGGCTGTCAAGCTACAAAAATGACAAAAGAGCTTTGTGTGAGGAATGGAAGAAAGCTTTGTGTGAGGAAAAGACTGAAATCTGGTCATTTTTTTACTTTAAATCTTCCCTCTGCTTTTCCTCAAATGCAATTTTCCTTTTGTACAATTATGAATATGTGTATATTCAAATTTGCCACGTTGCATGTGTTTGCAAGGCACATGTTTTGCAAACTGATGTCAAACCTTGTGTGACACGTTTTGATGTGTGATATTTCAGCATACTGTATGTGAGCGTTAATGATATCTGAGCCCTGCAGCAGAGGGGAAGATTGTTGACTAATGAATTTCAATCTTTCCATTTTATGGCTTCTGAAAAGTTGAAAAATTACACGCAATTTGTCATTTTTGTAGCCAATTTTCTTACGTCTTGTCACTTTCATTGTTTGAAAAAGAACAGTGAACATTAAATGTGTACTGTGTAAGTGTGGTGCACTATTACATTTACATTCAGCATAAAGGTGCTGTAACGTGAAATTTTCAAGGACAAAAAGTCCATTGTCATTAATGAAGCAAGCAGATTTCTGTTGGTCAACATGGCAAATTTGTGTTACCAACTTGAACTTGTGAAATCTGCGTAAGGAAATCCTTCGCCCTCAGGCTAATTATATGAATTGCTATTAAAATGACTTGATTTCGACCATGAAAATTCACCAAACAATGGTAAATGTAACCGTACATCATGTATAAAGAACTGTGTGAAGAAATGTAATTAAATCTATGCTTTGAATTACTGTTACTTGTAATGTTCAGGAGGTCTCTCTATGGACTGTATCCCTACAAGTCAAGCATGATCGGTTTAGAGTCGCTGGCGGATCCATCTTCTGATTGGGACATCATGGAAACAATTGGGAAAGGAACCTATGGCAAGGTCTACAAAGTCATCAATAAGAAAGATGGAAGTCTTGCAGCAGTGAAAGTTTTGGATCCCATTAATGTGAGTCATTTTTGGGCTTTCTGAGAGTGCAATCTGTGTTCAGTTTATTGGAATCATATCCTCTTCATGTGAGCACATGGAAACTGTTACTTCCATGAACTGTACTCTGCTTTCCTTGGGCTTTTCTTCTGAGAGTATTAAACCTTAATTTTTATAGACTAGACCCAATAGACTCAAAAGGGGGCAGTGTGGCATTACTATTCAGTAATGAATCTGAAAAAGTGTGCTGAAAATGTACTGTGAATATTTGTAACCTTTACCTGTGCTATCTACAGTCAAATTAATTTATGATGTAAGACTCCATATTAACAATGATTTGAACATCAAACAAAAACAGAAGGAACAAAATCTTTAAAGGCATTTCTTCTCCTCTTGTCCTCTGGCTTGTCTCAGAATCCCAGTCACACTAACAGAGTAAGTAGATGTTCTTCCTAAATTTCCCCCACAGATGTTCTCTTATTATAGCGCTATTGATTTTTGGAAACCTAGCCAGGATGTTTTATTTGTATGCCTAACCCTGATATTCCCCATGTTGTGTGATGTCATTAGTGCTGCTTGATCCCCCATAACCCCCTGCTGTACAGTGCATGCATGGCTGCCCTTACTGTACCCATCGAACACCCTGCTGGTCATACAAGCACATGCACGAAAGCTCTGGAGCGTTTTTTTTTTTTTTACACCTTTTTCATTGTTATCATCTATTCTGAAAAATGGTCTTTTGTATATGGTGGCTTTTTTGAATCAGCAGCAATGTCTAGCTTCAATTAAGGACAGATGTCCATGTAGTTAGTCATAGAATCCCATAAGAACACCATGTCATTACACACAACAAATGCAAATTATATAGAACCCCCACAAACCAGGGCGTTGTCTTGCTTACTAACATATATGATTAATGCGGTTGTGTCAGGATGTGGATGAGGAAATTGAAGCGGAGTACAACATCCTGCGCTCGCTGTCCAACCATCCCAATGTGGTGAAGTTCTTTGGCATGTTCTACAAAGCAGATGAGCTCTCTGGAGGGCAGCTTTGGCTTGTTTTGGAGGTACATTTCTTTTTCAGAGCTTGGTTTAGCATTTTATTTGCATAGTCCACAGGAAATAGTTTCTAGGGCCCTGTTTACACCTGGTATTATGATGCGTTTTGTTCGATCGGATCACAGGTAGACGAGGGGGAGACATTCCCGTTTACACCTGGTGTTTTAATCCGTGTCTTTTGTCCACTTTCAACCACTTCTGTCCTGATTTCTTCGAGGGAAGGGTCTATGGGCGGGTTTTTGTTTCAATTCTTTCGATCTAATGGACAAAATAAGCTCACGCAATTTACATATGATACGGAGAAACAGAAAACATACGGAGAGCATCAGCTTTAGTTTCTGCTCTGTCAGTCGCAAGACCAGCCGTACACTGTGAGTGTTTGTTAGAAATCAGGAATGGTGAGAGAACATTGTGCTTGGTACATTTTTCGTCTCCAGCCGACAAAGTTTAAATCCCGTCTGGCTAGAGCTCTTCCCGTAATGTTCACTCATTAGATCAGTAGACGGAGAGTAGACGTTTTGTTGTGGCTGTTTGAACACATTCGACCTCAAGAGTGTTTACACTACGAAAGTAATCCGGTCGAATGTGTTTTCAACTACCCGGAAGTGGTCGAAAGTGGACAAGCTCAAATGTTTTAGACCCCGTTTATTGAGTCTTGTCAGTTTGACAAACAGTTCAAATTTAGGGCCCTTTTAGTGCTTGAATACTTTTTGTTTGGAAAGAAATCAATGTTACCACACGCATACCCTAAAGCAGTCGGAGAGTTCAGTGCTTTTCAGCTGAGCAAAAAGTATTAACACAATCTCAAAACACACAACATTCTAGATTTATGATTATGATGGCGGACTAGTTCAGCCAAAAATGAAGATTCTGTCATCATTTACATAATATTGTTCAAAACCTATATGACTTTCTTTTGAACCAAGGAACACAAAATTGATGGACTCACTTTAAGTGTCTTTAACCCTCTAAAGCCTAACATATGAATTAATAGTCAGAAAACTCTATATTTTTGGCCCATATAGAATGATATAGAAGAATATGGAGCTCATACTCGAGGAGGAGGAAAAAAAAAACACCCTATTATTATTTTTCAGCGGCCCAAACTGAGCAAGAATAAGCAGTTTGGTTCAGTTGCTGATATTTATACGGCTAAAAAGTAAGATGAAATTCTTTTAGCCTCTAATGTAAATCAATGAGATCTTTATGACAGTATAGCAGACTACTGAAAATGTCACTCTATATCTATCTATCAATAAAATGTCTAACATGATATGTAGGTGTTTATGAGTTTTATGATCAAAGCTCTGTCGTTTTGTTATTATTATGGGGGGTAAATCATATAATGAAATGCAATACAATGATGATTGAATGATGAACTAATAAACGCTCCTCAAAAGCCTGATGTGTCATATTCGATACTCACTTTTTGTATGCTTACACTAAAAAAAAATGATGTATAGATGATCAAGTAAAGCTAAGCTAAGTGTTCATTTTGAAATATTACTAACAACAGTAAAGTTCATTTTACATTTAGTTTATAAAAATCAAGATTTCACAGACTACTAAAAGCCTTTTATTTCCCAAAAAAGTATAAACTGTCAGTCAGATGACAGAAGGCATGTAGTAGATTGGTACAACATGTTTGTTTCTGCAGTTGATAATTGATAAACACGTTTTTATCATGTTGATAATTTAGAGGTAAATTATAGGATAATTGTATGTCCAAATAGGCTAGGGTTAACTGTTATGCATTCAAATTCATTGTTTGATACAACGCTCTTATTCTATACATCATTTTACATGGTGCTTCTATATTCTTTAAAACCCTTCATGTAATACATAGAGTAAATACAATTGCAGCATATGTGTTTTGCAATTCATCATCAACACAATAATGAGTAAATACATTTTTTTGGGAGTAAATACATTTTACACAATTTTAATTTTAATTTTGTAAAGTTAAAATCATAAGAATGAAATTAAAATTTTACACAAATTAAAGACATTTAATATAAAGTGGGACCAAATGTAGCCCATGTGCTTTGTTCACTACATTCCAAGTGAATGTTTTATTACTGGGAATATTTAGTGGAAAGGTCTAAAATGGAAGTTATTTACTTAAAATCATTTGTTAGCCTCCAAATCCAAAGTATGCAGACAGACTGAATGTAAACAAAAATCTATTTAAAGCTATGGAGAAGGGTAAGATTTTGAACTCTTCCTGACACAGATTAAAGCTCGCGAGCTGTTTTCACTGTATGGAAAAGTGCAGCACAGACATTACTATAAATATTTTATTTTGTGTTCTACAAAAGAAAGAAAGTAATACGTCGTATACCTGAACAAAAGATGACAATTTTTTTTTCATTTTGTTATTTTAGCATTTGCATGCATGATATGTCATAGCTGGTTTTACAAATACAATGCCAAGATTGAATAAAACACTGTGTGGTGTGTTTCGTTAGCCTATGAATCATAAAAAGTGCTGAAGTCTTATTAATTTAGCTCCTGTTGTTTGGTTGCCCTTTTCTCTATAACTGCATTAATCTATTTCTCTCTCTCTCCTTTTCCTCATTACTTCCCCTCTCTGTCTGGTGTTTCTCTCTGTTAGTTGTGTAATGGGGGTTCAGTAACGGAACTGATAAAGGGTTTGCTGATGAGGGGAAAACGTCTTGAGGAGCCCATCATCTCCTACATCCTGTGTGGAGCGCTTCTGGTGAGACACACACACACACACACGCACACACACTGAGGTAATCTGCTCACCCCAGCACAGGGAACGCTGCCTCAGCGCTCTGACCGTGCCAGAGTAGTTATTTTGGGTCGTGATAGTGAGGAGTCCAGCTGATCATTGGCAGTCTGGCCTTCAGGCTCAACTAACTGACTTCAACTGGCTAAAAGTTTCTCTGGCTTTTTTGTTCTCAGGGTCTCCAGCATCTTCACGACAACAGAATAATCCACCGTGACGTGAAGGGCAACAACATCCTCCTCACCACAGACGGTGGAGTCAAGCTGGTGGACTTTGGTAATGGCTACTGCTGTTTCTCTGCAGAGAGAGGTGGATTTTATTATAGGAAGAGAGTTTTATTTTTGAAGTTTTATATACATTTTCCTTTCCATACTCCAAACAATCTACACAGTGACCATGTTTGTCAAGCTCCAAAATGGACGACATACTAGTTTGGAATGACATGAGAGTAAATAATGACAACTTTTTTTGTATTTTTTTGTTATTTTAACAGGACAGTGAAAAGACATTTAAACCAAAGTAAACATCAAACAACAAATGTATTTATGGTCATAAACATCTTATATATATATATATATATATATATATATATATATATATATATATCACGACATATATATATATATATATATATATATATATATATATATGGTTCATCGTACACCAGTTTGGACCAGTTTATATTCCAAGATGGCTTTAACATGTTCTTGATGGGCAATAATGTCTATTACGAACATTAGCTGGAAAATAACGGAAATATGATAAATTCTTCAAAAGAATATATGAAATTATACTCTCTTTAAGTACACTTATGTGGCCTTTTATTTCAGTAACTTTTTTTTTAAAACATAGCTATACTTTTAAGACGTTTACTTATAATGCTAACCAATAACTGACTTTTACTGGTTGTTTAAACTGGTTGCTGAACCAGTTTAGCTGGTTTTGAGTGCTGAAAAACATCAAATATATTTGATTTACTGCCTCAGTTTATTCACAATTAATTTGTTGACCATACATGATATAAATTCTTAGTATTAGATACACATCATATATTTTTACCATATTGTTCCAAATATATGACGAACGCCCCCTTTTTCAAGATGTACCTTTTGGAAAAAGGCTTTTTGATAAAAAAAAATGCTTTTATGTGAAAATAATTTTCATTCTGAATATTTTTCTTATTTAATTTTTTGTATTGAAATTATGGTAAATACTGTTCAAATGTACCAGCAATCTCATTTAAAAATAAACACTTTTTGTTCAGATGTATTTCTAAGAAAAAAAATCATCTTATATTCGGAACAATACAGTATTGTAGACATAATCAAATTAACAGTATGCTAATGCTCTAGCATGAGTTGTCAGCAAATGAAATGCTGCTAAATGGAGGTGGAGTCGTTCTGGCGTCTGTGCGCTTATCAAACGCACCCTCACACATCATGTGAATGGGGTTAAATGGTATTTGACATGGAAAGTGTGTGTGTGTATGTGTGTGTGGGGCCATTGATTCCCGTCTGCCTGAGGCGTGTTTGTCCCGTGTGGATGTGAGAAAGAAGTGGACCCCTGCCGGGAAGCAAAATGTCCTCATCACGTAATGCTGATGAATGCTAATGTCACGTCAGATTATTTGCCACCTCCTAAATGTCTGAATCCTTCAGAGTGTTATTTGGTCCTACTTGATACAATAATTGTACAGTTATTGCTGCGTATTATTACAGATGTTCACAAAAAAATAAAAAAAAAGGGAAAAATGAACCTCATGAAGGGAAAAAATAACATTATGAAGGGAAAATATCACCTTAAAAAAGTATGATTCTGACACATGTTGTCTCTGATCTCTTGCAGGTGTCTCCGCTCAGTTGACCAGTGCCCGTCTACGCCGAAACACATCAGTGGGAACTCCTTTCTGGATGGCTCCTGAGGTCTGTCCTGTTAAAAATACCACGTTTATTTCTAAATCTAGCAGTCAACACCCTTCTCTTCCTATGTTCCAGTACAAAACATTTTATTGTTAAAGGGATAATTCACCCAGACATATTATAATATGTCCAGACATATAATAAGCCTTTTTCACACTAACACTTTCGAAAAGCATAAGCTTCAAATAGTAAAGCTTCAAATACGCTCCACTAGCCTGTGTAAATGGCAGGACCCATAGCACAGGATTGCTGTGATTTATTGATGTACAGTTCATCACGGATACTTTATCTAAACACATCAACCACAGTTTACAATCTTTAGCTGGCTGTGATGAAACAAAGAAAATGGCTGATAATGTGATACAAGCGTCAAAATAAATCATGTACTATGGTAAAATTGTTTTGAGGTCATACCATAGTGTTGTGCAAGGAATCGTGTGAAAATTCATGTTTAATAATTAATTAATTATTAAGAAGGCACATCTCTTTACTCACATACATACCCACTTATACTCACTGTATATATATATATATATATATATATATATACACTCACCTAAAGGATTATTAGAACACCACACTAATACTGTGTTTGACCCCCTTTCGCCTTCAGAACTGCCTTAATTCTACGTGGCATTGATTCAACAAGATGCTGAAAGCATTCTTTAGAAATGTTGGCCCATATTGATAGGATAGCATCTTGCAGTTGATGGAGATTTGTGGGATGTACATCCAGGGCACGAAGCTCCCGTTCCACCACATCCCAAAGATGCTCTATTGGGTTGAGATCTGGTGACTGTGGGGGCCATTTTAGTACAGTGAACTCATTGTCATGTTCAAGAAACCAATTTGAAATTATTCGAGCCTTGTGACATGGTGCATTATCCTGCTGGAAGTAGCCATCAGAGGATGGGTACATGGTGGCCATAAAGGGATGGACATGGTCAGGAACAATGCTCAGGTAGGACATGGCATTTAAACGATGCCCAACTGGCACTAAGGGGCCTAAAGTGTGCCAAGAAAACATCCCCACACCATTACACCACCACCACCAGCCTGCACAGTGGTAACAAGGCATGATGGATCCATGTTCTCATTCTGTTTACGGCAAATTCTGACTCCACCATCTGAATGTCTCAACAGAAATCGAGACTCATCAGACCAGGCAACATTTTTCCAGTCTTCAACTGTCCAATTTTGGTGAGCTCTTGCAAATTGTAGCCTCTTTTTCCTATTTGTAGTGGAGATGAGTGGTACCCGGTGGGGTCTTCTGCTGTTGTAGCCCATCCGCCTCGAGGTTGTGCGTGTTGTGGCTTTACAAATGCTTTGCTGCATACCTCGGTTGTAACGAGTGGTTATTTCAGTCAAAGTTGCTCTTCTATCAGCTTGAATCAGTCGGCCCATTCTCCTCTGACCTCTAGCATCAACAAGGCATTTTCGCCCACAGGACTGCCGCATACTGGATGTTTTTCCCTTTTCACACCATTCTTTGTAAACCCTAGAAATGGTTGTGCTTGAAAATCCCAGTAACTGAGCAGATTGTGAAATACTCAGACCGGCCCGTCTGGCACCAACAACCATGCCATGCTCAAAATTGCTTAAATCACCTTTCTTTCCCATTCTGACATTCAGTTTGGAGTTCAGGAGATTGTCTTGACCAGGACCACACCCCTAAATGCATTGAAGACACTGTCATGTGATTGGTTGATTAGATAATTGCATTAATGAGAAATATAACAGGTGTTCCTAATAATCCTTTAGGTGAGTGTATATATTGCAAATCCCAACTGTTTTATTGTTTGTATCATCACAAAATGTTAACTTTATTTTAGCTCTAAATCTATTAAATGCGACTTGAAGATATTAAGAAATTTTAAACATTAACATCGATTTTCTCTAAAGCTGCTTTTCACAATGTGTATTGTGAAAAGCGCTAAACAAATAAATTTGCTGTTCAAAATATATATATATTTATTTATTATACTTTTGTGTATACTTTTATTTACTGTACTGACTGTAACAATCTGGGTTTCTTTAACCTGTGAGTAGATTCATGCAGCTTCGTTTAAAAAAATCTGCATTTTAATGCTGAGTGTGTTTTTGTGTATGTATTAGTGAGCTGTCACTGAGTTTGGTGTGTGTGTGTGTGTGTGTGTGTGTGTGTGTGTGTGTGTGTGTGTGTGTGTGTGTGTGTGTGTGTGTGTGTGTGTGTGTGTGTGTGTGTGGGTCGTGTGAAGGTTAATAGCTGAGCGCCGCTCTGTGAGAGTGAAAGAAAGAGAGGTGATGGGGCCAGTGGGGGAGGCCCCTCAGGGCCAATTAAAATTCAGTCTAAATGAAACGCTCGGCAATATGCCGATTGGCTACAGTGTTTCTGACAAACTGATTTAATGCTGGAAAACAACATAAAGTAATTGCTGTGATTATTACAGTCCAGTAATGATTAAACATCACAAATACTGGTTAACTGGAGCAGAAATAAAATTAGTTTAATTTAGAAAATGGTTTGGCTAAATCCACATGGATGTAAATGAGCAGAAATTAAAGAGCTTATTTAACCATTTTGAACCGTATAATAACGAAACTGATATGAATCCCTCTAATAGACCATAGTCAGCGCACCATATTTAACGTCTGACAGGAGTGAAAACGAGGCTGTGAGGGATAGAAGGACAGTGTGTTCAATGGATTGTACTGTTGTTTAACAGCATACCAGTTCAGCAGTCTTTTCTGGAAAAAAAAAAATACAGTTTTGAGTTGTGGAAATTCATGATTTTGGATTTTTCTAGTGTGCATGCCATTGTAAAGAATGAAAGACTATCCCTTACAACCTCGTTTCCATGCATAAAATTTAAATGCCCACTCTTCTATACATTAATATTCTACTTCTGTTGCATGTAACTATTGTTGGATTTGTGTATATTTTTGTATCCCTAAAGGAATTTTAGCAAAAATATCCAACGCTATCTCACGAACAATTTGTACGAGTGAGTACAAAATGGCTAATTCCTACGAATTTGTACGACCTGACTCTTACGATTTGTCTAAACCCCAGTGATGGGTAGGTTTAGGCATTTATACGTAAAATAACTTTAGGTAGAATTGCAGGCCATTCAATTTTAAAAAGTTCTCAATTATGTTTATTGTAGGCATAAGATATTTCCAACCCGATATCACGGCAATTCGTACGAATTTATACAACCTCACTCATACGAATTCGTATGATTTTTGCTAAATCGTACATTTTACGAGTTGCCCAATTCGTACGAATGACCTACCCCTGACTCCGCCCCTAAACCTACCCATCACTGGGGTTTAGACAAATCATAAGAGTCTGGTCGCACAAATTGGTAGGAATTAGCCACCCTGTACTCACTCGTACTAATTCGTACAAATTGGTCGTGAGATAGCGTTGGATATTTTTGCTAAAAATCCTTTGGGGATATAAAAATATACACAAATCAAACAATAGTTGACATGCAGCAGAAGTAGAATATTAATGTATAGAAGAATGAGCTATAAAATGAATGTACACTGTAAAAACTAAAGGTGCCTCAAATATCCTGTCGGATACTCAAGGAACTTAAAAACACAATTTAAGTGCCTCAAAGCTCTTTCTCCTATAGTAGGGTTACTGGTGGAGCATTGACAATCTTTGCGGTTCTTGCTGGAACTTATGGGATCCTTTAAGCACTTTGTATTCAGTTCAGAGGTTCTGGAGTCACCTTTTCACTACCATGACACCTCGAAGTGCTTTGGGGGGAAAATAGAGGAACTTGAATGCTATAAAAGGGTTATTGTAAGATCTTTTAACATTTAAGTGGTTCCTGGAAGATCTCTTATGTTAAAGCCAGCATCTGGAGGAACCCATGGTTCTGTGAGGCCAGAATACGATTATTATTATCCTATTATTGTTATACTTAAGTTTAAAAAAAATATTCATAAATATATGAACCTGGGTGGTTCCTCAGAGAACTGCCCCTTTTTAAAGGGTGCCTAGAGGATCTACAGATGGTTCCGCCGGTGTGGCAAAGTGAAGAACCCCAAAAGGTTCCTCCAGGCACCTTTTATTTTTACAGTGTAGATTGCATGACTCACAATAAAAATAATTGTTTGAGTTCATATTAAGCTTGCTGACTTGTGTCTTGACATATCTGAGCACAGTTGAGATGTCTTCTGAAACTCAAGAGGAGACACATCTGAGATCACTAGGGTCTTTTTCTCCATTTATTCTGAGAAATACAGTAATTGAGACATCTGTGCAGAGTGAACATAACGGTTTGTGTGTGTGATGGCTCTGTGTGCAGGTGATAGCGTGTGAACAGCAGTATGACTACTCGTATGATGCCCGCTGTGATGTGTGGTCTCTGGGCATCACTGCCATAGAGCTGGCAGACGGAGACCCACCGCTGGCAGAGATGCACCCGGTCAAAGCACTCTTCAAAATACCACGGTAAGAGACACCAGGGGGAGCTATACTCACACACAGCAGACGTGAGGACCTGAGGGAGGAATAGATGGAAATGGAGATAGACGGGAGAGATTGGGGAAAAGTGGAAACTAGGAATAAGAGTAGCGTGAAAGAGAGAGAGACCGATAGGAAGGCCAGCGTTCTCATGCACATGGACACTCTGACTGAGAGTGACGTCACTCATACCTCTTTCACAGAGCATTGATCCCAGAAAATTGCCATATAATTGCTAGAGTGCCCTCAGTGTGAAAGCAAACACTCTCCGGGATTGATCCCTGATTAGTCCCGGAACGCTCCCTGTGTGAACAAAAGGCAGGATCAATGCCGTAAGGTGATGGCGCTGAAGCTGAGATCGTTCACCAGCATAGTGAAACGGTACAAGATGCGCTAGTTCATGATTGAATCAGAACGAAATGTACAAGCGTGGTTTCTAGAGAAAGAAATCAAATCACAGATCAATAGAAAACTTAAGACGATGTGGAGATCCTGATGTTATGTGTCTTTACGGGATGTGTGTGAACGTATGCACAGATTCCTGAAAATCACTGGCAGTGTGAATGAACCAAAATCAAAGATCTCGGGACACATCATCAGTGTATTTTCCGGAATCTCTGTGAAAGGGGATTCACTGTCAGCAGACTGCAGAAATTAAAACCAATTTAACACACTTCAATAGGAGAGTAAACTCAAATTCAAAGAAACATGTTGGTTTTGTTTGGAACTGAAATATTGTAAAAAATATTCTTCAACCTACATTTTTTGCAAAAACGTCCATATATTCACTGCAGTTTCTAGCTGAAATTAACAAGTAGTGGCAGTAAAACACCAACAACTTGCCTTTTGCCCTCATGTCGCTTCTCTTAAATGATGACTATGTTATGACCTCAAAACACTTACCATAGTGTGGGATGTTTTGACATTTGCATTACATAATCAGCTTTACATACGGCTTTTCTGACGTAGTAAACTTTCTCGTTAGCTCACCTGGTACAGCATTGCACTTGTTATTCTCGATGAAACGGCTCACAGACTTGTAGAAGCGGCTGAAATGGTTTGGTTAGTATAGATTTTTTATCATATTTGTTTTTTTGATTAAGCTGGCATGAAACAGAAGTTGCAATAGTCCTTATTGTGATGGATATTCAAGTGAAATGGCTTCTCGAAGAAGTAGGGCGGGACTTGATTTTGTCCATCGGGAATTGGATTGTTGTGGTTTTCTATTGCTGTGATCTCATGTGAGTGACAGGTTGTCCCGTCCTGACTTCAGTAAATGCGTCATCAGAGAAGAGATGTTGGAAGAGAGAGTGAATTTAGACTCTACTCTTTTCACATACTGTTTTTCGCCTACTATATAGTAGGGAACTACACAATTTTGGATGCAGCCTGGCCATTTTTGCTACTGCCTCTTTAAGACTTCTATATGTAAATGTGACCTCTGTTATGTCAGCCTTGGCCAAGTTACTGAATACTGAAGTTGGATGTGTGGTCATAGGTTCATGAGCTGGTTGTGATGTTATTGCAACACGTTATTGACATGTGCTGTGAACATTTATTTCTGTGATTATTTTTCGTAAATGGTCTGTCTTGACTGGACTGGAGCTTTGTATAGTGAATGTGTGAATTTTTCCAAATCCTGTTTTCCATGATATGAATTCTTAAAGAAGACATATCATGAAAATCTGACTTTTTTCGTGTTTAAGTGCTATATAATCTGGTCCCCGATGCATCTAGCAACCCAGAAAACACGAAAAGTGACAACCCAGTAACCCTTTAAGTGTCACCCCCCTTTTTTTGAATATACATGAAAATGCACATTTCGAATTTAAATGGTTGTAATTCAAGAATCCTTTGGAATATAGACGTAAGATTGGTCTTGTTTTAAAGAAGACATTTGGCAGATTTTTGTAGAAGTGAAATAAATTAAGAAAGTGAAACAGAAAAAAAGTTATAGAAGTTTGAGTTTATGAAAATGTACAATGTAAAAAAATTAATTATTCATATTTTATATAAAATACATATTTTCAAAACCTGGGCGACTCTAAAACTGCAAAAAAATCAAAGCCAAAAATCTGAACAAGTTGTGTTTCAAATTTTAGGTTGATATCTCAAAAAATGAGCTTTCAGTAAGATTTTGTTTGGGCGCAGTACCAAACTTTTTCACTAGATGACAACCAGACTCCATTACTGCCCATATAAGGGCGCCTCCATTTCCATATGTGTTTTGAGTGATATGAACCATTATTTCCACAATTTTCATACAATTTATGAAGTAGACATCCTATTCAGAAGTAATATGAGAAGTTTGGCAGATTTTGATATGATTTCAACCTCTAAGAAACATAAAAAGAACACGCATGTGCATTTTAGCTTCCTGCCACATCATATAATTTTTTTCTTTATATAAAAAAAAAAATTCAGACCTTTTTTTAAAAAAAATAATTGAATGGATGCTATCTTTTGAACTCTTGGCATGAAAACAAACTGAGGTTTCTACCCTTCTTTCATGATTTTTCATGTTCATCACTATTTCAAAATAAAGGTCTAAGAGTATGAAAATATTATTGTTGCAAATTGATAAATTACGGCTCCTCTGTAATTTATTTTGAAAATCAATCACCAAATATGGAAACTAGAGATTGTAAGCTTTCAAATGATATATAGTTTGTCAAGATTAGTTTAGGTTTCGTATAGGATATTACTGTTTTAAAAATGTAAAGGATTTGGGCCCACCGGTGGGCCCGTGACACTTAAGGGGGTAACTTTGTTTTGGTAAGTCTTTCTCTGCAAGCATGTCAAAAAATGAACCAATCAGATTTCTCTCTAATGTAGGAAGAGGATCTTATTATAATATTTCCACCCCTTAATCTGTACGTTTCCACCCACGGCGCCGCCATTTGGTTTCCGCAAGCGATAACAGTGTAACCAGTTCTAACGCAATGGCAAAAGTTCGAGCAAAGCATGTAAACTGTTCTGTCGTCGCTGCACAGACGAGCACCGAATACAATTTGACCAAAAAACGTCACAGCTGTCTTAAAAAGACCTCAGGGAACTGTGTCAACTTGTGTAAAATTTAAACATGACGGTACAAGTCGATGAGGTGAATCAATGCAACTCCACAACAACTAAATAAATGTATCCACTAACCATTCAGAAACGTCCATGTGCGTCTAAAAGTTGCAACCTCCTTCCGAGTCTCTCTGTAAGGCTGCACTCCGCTACGGGTTATTTCAGAGATTTTGGATGAGTGAGATTCACATGTTTTGTTATTGTATCGTGTAAAGGATCGGCTGTCTTCTGAACGGGGGCGGAGCAGCAGCTCATTTGCATTTAAAGAGACACACACAAAAACGGCACGTTTTTGCTCACACCCAAATCGGGGCAAATTTGACAAGCTATAATAAATGATCTGGGGGGTATTTTGAGCTGAAATTTCACAGACACATTCTGGGGACAGCAGAGATTTATATTACATCTTGTGAAAAGGGGCATCTTTAAAGCGTGAACTGTCATATTAGTGATTTATTCCATTGAATAAACTGTGCACTGTGGCTATATCCCCGTTCACACTCATGTATAGCTTGACTGTTTTATTGTCACAGAATTGGGACATGTGTCATTTTGATGACAATCTGACCTTCTGCCATCTCTATGATCACACCATTATCACCCAGAATGCATTGGTTATGTCCTTTGATTGGATTTTTAATTTGTGATTAACCACCCCTCCTTCCCCATTGTCTTCTCGATGAGGCTGACACTCATGTTATCTGCCCTGCTCCAGGCCTGCAGGGGATGGGCCGCTCGCTGTCGGGACACTGGGAGCGTCACGCATACCTTTATGACACTGACACTACAGCGCATAGCTCAGTTTTACAGAGAAATAGAATACTAGCATACTGCTTACTGCACATTATGGAGTATATCTTGTTTTTTAAAGGTCACACTTTATATTAGGTGTCTTTAACTACTGTACTATGTGCTTGCATCAAAATAAGTACAATGTGCTTATTGTTTTGATGTTGTATTGTAAAACTTTGTTGCTACTATTGAGGTAGTATACGGGTAAGTTTAGGACAGGTTTGGTGGTATGGGTTGGTTTAAGGTTTGGTTTAAAGGAGAACTCCGGCGCAAAATGAACCTTTGGTCTAATAAAACATTGGTACCCAGTCATTCGTTCTCTGAGATTTGTTTTCATGATAATCTAATGTAAAGAGTTTTATCTCTAAAAACTGTTTAGCGTATAACGCTAGTAATGGGGGCATCTATTAAGTAAAAATAAATCGCTAGTTTATACCACTAACAAGACTCAAAATAGCCCCACACTAACACAGTAACATAATGAGGGTCCCTACATGCAAAACGAAGCATTGAGAACTTTGTAAGTGTACAGACCGTTTAATTAAGATATTTTATGAAGACAGTCCACTTCGTGTATACAGACAGGAGCCATCTTTGGAAAACAGTCTCGACTAATCAAACCATGAACGCCATTCATACAGTTCAGAAGTTCACTGAACTTCATACAGTTCAGCTCACTTAGCACGTCGTTCGTGGTTTGATTGAGAAAGCCTGAATGGGCAGCCTGAGTCAAAAGAGCCAAAACACACGTCTGTTGGTGTACTGGACCTGGCCAAAAAAAAAAAAATCTATAGTTTTTTTTGGATTTTTATTTTTTGTGACCCATGCTATTTTGTATTCTAATAAATAAGCTTATTATTACTGCAAAATTATACATACAAGTTAAAATTCACAATTAGGACGATCAATAGCTCAAATAAATCAGGTTTCAGGTACAGAAATTGAATAATCAAATGTCAAACAACAGTTATTTTTGTTAGTCTTTGTTAAATATAGATTGATCTTTATTGATAGGATTTACTTTGAGACAATTTTCACTCATAAATTGCTAGTAAATTTCTCAAATAAATAGCAGGTAACACATTGAATTAAACATCAAATTTTGAATACTAAAACAGTATTTTCTTG